CACAAAAAAAAAAAAAAAGAAAGAAAATGAGGCAAGGCCAGACTGATGCACAAAAACTTAAACTTAAAAAACAAATGAGTTGATTTCCATCACGTATGAAAGAATTCCCTGATTGTTTTCCCCCCGAGTGCCTTCATAGAGTCAGTTTCCCTACTGAACCCACAATGTTGCTTTCAAAGCAATAAATATTTGATAAAAGAGAAGGGATAAAAAAGCTTAAAAGTCAGTGTCAAACTACTGTAAACTGAAGTTTAAAACTGAAGACATCACAGCTGAAATGATTTAAATCAAAGTGACAACAGGATTTGATTTACAAAAGTTCTATTTACACATCTATTAGATAAAGCAAGGTACACCCATTTCAAAATACATCCATATTTGAATGCACATCTGAGTACCATCCGGCAAGAAGCTTTTAAGAGAACTTCAGTTTAATAAACAAAGCTAAATGGGGAGAATTTAAGTTTGCACTTGACATGGTATTCAAACAAAACCAAAGGGCTGAAACTCAATATTTAGACAAAGGACAAGTTCACTCGTCACTAGGCAAAGAAAATAGTCCACGGCAGGTGGCACACAGAATTCCTATAAAACAAGTGTCACAAATATTTTGCTTTTAGGAAACATAAAACAATGGGTTGACATGTCATTTACAAATACATAATATAAAAACGCACAGCCCCCTCGAACAAAAATCCATCAAATGTTTTTTAGGTGACTTCCCTAACCCCACCCGTTTACTAAAATAGGCCATTCTGGTGCATTACTAGCATCTGCCATTTTGTCTTGTAAAAATTAAGAGTGCCGGGCACATGTGCTGTGCAGGGTGTAAGAGAAGTGTCTTATAAAAAGGGGCCAGAGTGGGCCAAAAGCATCTGGACAAGTGTGTCTCAAAATGGTGTGCTCGAGTTTCACTTCTGTTTCTCGCTCTTGAAGACACAAAAATATCTTAGAAACTACTCTGTGCCCAACCTGTGGAGTGACCATCTTCCTCCCATTGCCCTCAATATGAGGGAGCACTTGAAGCCTTTCCTTGGACCCCCCTTCCCTTTCTGTCTAAACCAGAGGAGAAGACGTGGGAGTGGGCGCTGCCCAGGCCCTTCCATGCCCAGGTACAGCTGGGTGCGTGGTGGTCTTCCGGCCAGCATGAAGTAAGGCATTTCCCTTCTCCGAGAGTCCCGTTCACTTTCTCAGAAGCAGCTTGGCAAAATCGGCATTGGACATCTTGGGTGCCTCGGTGGCCGCCGAGGGGGGTACTGCTGGCTGCGGGGCAGGGCCGTTCTCGGCCTGAGCAACCAGAGCGCTCGTGCGCTGCAGGGCGCGTGGCAGCAGAGACAGCTGGGTCCTTCCCTTCCCCCGCCTGGAAAGGCAAACACCGCATGTACTCTCTCAAGGCAGCAATTCGTGGGCCCCGGTTCATTTGTGAAAATAAGCCAGGACAGTCTTCAATCACTCAAAATTAAAAGGTGAAAGGTAAAAAACAAGAAGGACAAGACGATTCTATCCCCTTAATTTTGGCTATTAGGTAAAAATCACTTTAACTTTGTCTTTTTCAATTGTGGCAAGGGCCAACCCTGTGCAATATAGTCACCTGCAGGACGGATAAAAACGGCAGCCGTCTTTCAGACCTCACCAAGTAACCTCGCAATTTTGCTGTCTCATCGCCATCAGGTGAAAACACAGCCTTTCTATGATTACAGTGGGAGCTGTAGATTACCCTGGCAAGCACACGGCTGTCAGGTTTTGTTTTAAAAACGTACGGATTCAACTGGCAAAGAAGACTTTAAAATAATCACTGCCTGAAAACAAGCTGACCTCACATAAACCACAAGTGTAAACTGGCAGACACCAGGAGGAGTTCCACCTGCTCCAGACCCCTGCTCCAGGAACTCCAGGGGACAGCAGGCCCTGGCTCTCTGTCCTGACTGGTTCTACTGACAGGGAACGAAATCATCATGGCAGCAGCCAGGACGAAGCCTGCACTGGGCTGGCATGCAAACACTTACGCTCCATATATCTGCCGTGGCATCAGGGGGCCACCCGGTGTTTTCCTTGCCTCTGGCTTCTCTGGAACCTTCCTCTGAGGAGGATTACTGATGGCCACTTTGATGACGTTCTCCTTGACAGTCATGCCGTCCATCTTCATTACAGCCTGCGACGCCTGGGATTCATTCTCGTACTCCACGTAGGCCAGGCCCTGAAAGAGGCAAAATCCAGAGCAGGGTCGGGGGCTGCAGAACCAGGACGAAACGTCCCCCTCAGGGCAGGAGGCCAGTACCGGGCAGGCGTCCCACCAGCGGGCTGCCTCCCCCACCACCCTCCTCTGTCTGTAGGTTTATCTCCCTGCCCTGCTCTTCCTCCCTGTTTCTGCAACGGACTGTAACTTCAGATCACCTTCTTAAGTTTAGTACACCTTGCGCTTACTCCAGCAACAAAAGAAAGAACAAGACAGAGAACCAGTATAAATCCAGCCAACAAACAGACGAGGTGGCCTGGACACAGGGTGAGCAGCCCAGTGCCCACGTGAGCCTTGATGCCTCTATGCCTTCCGCCCTCCATTACTGCACACTCTCCACTGGAGTATTAACCTGGATGGGGGCAGGTAAAGAGGCAATCCCAACTCCAGCTCAACCAACACGACTCAAAATGCGCTGCAAAAAGGATTGAACAAGAGGCTGAGGACTAGAGGGGAGGACGTGATGAGGGGACACCAGTAGAGGGAACTGAGGAGATGGCTGGAGGCCTCGTGGAAAAGAGGAGTCTGGGCAGGAGGGAGGAGGCTGCAGAGGAGGGGACCTCACCCCAAGGCCCCACAGCCTGGGGTCCGCACTGTGGCCCCTGCTAATTCGTGGTAGTTTTTTTCCCAAAGCTTTAGTACTAAATGATTCCAATGTAAGGAGAGCCCAGTGTACCTGCCCGTCTGTTAACTTATCGTTTGTTTCTCAGCAGACAAACCAGGAGCCCACTCTGGAGCCAAATCACCTCTGACCGGACGCGGAAGCAGGCCCGCCCGAGCCTTGGGAGGGAGGTCAACGCTGTCCGCGCAGACACTTACCTTTGGTTTGCCGGCCCGGGTGGTCACCAGCCTGATGTCCTTCACGGTGCCGTGAGCCTTACAGATCTCCTCTAGTTCCTCTTTCGTGCAGGAAAACGGCAGACCCGAGACAAACAGCTTGTGTTTCTCCAGGGCAGTGCTGTACCTGAACACCTACAGGATGAAGGGGGACAGAAAATCAGCGACGAGGCCTGGCCCAGCAGGCCACAGTCGAGGTGGCACAGCCTCATCCACAGGCCTCACCCCAGCCACAGGCCGGAGCTGACCCTGGGGGGGGGGGGGGGTGAACTATTAACTGGGTCACCCTGGGCAAGTCACCTAACCTCTCGAAGCCCCCACTTCCTCTTCCATAAAATAGCAAGGATAAAAGTCACGTTCTCAGAGTTTGGGTGAGGATCCAATGAGGTAATACACAAAACACGCAGCGCAGTCCCTTGTTTCTCCTAACTATTCAATGGACTAGTTAGCCATTATTACAACAGCCATTATTACAACCCCTAGTTTTATCATCATTTGTCAATTAATGCAAGCTCCAAATGACCAAGCCACGAGTCAGACCTCAGTTAACCCGCTCAGAACAGATGTCAGTTAACATGGAAGTTTAGTTCTTAACAGAGCATAGAAATTCCACACACATTCTCAGTATTACTTGCTGCAGGAAACAAGTATCTATAGTCTGTCTACGGCAACCCTACATGAAAGGCGTTCTTTTTTCCACACACATACCTTAAAATCGGGATTTTTGCTCTTATCCACACAGGGGGAAACAAACATTGGCCTCCCTTCCACGTTCTTCCGGTCCAGCTCCAGGGCCTGCTGGGCCGACTTCTCCTCTTTAAACTCTACATAGCAGTAGCCCCGGAAATCGCCCCGGTTGCTGAAGATGGGGCGGATCTCCACCACCTCCCCACAGGCCTCAAAGAGCGGCCGCAGCTTCACGGCCGGCTCCCCCATGCTGTACGGCAGGTTGCTGACGAAGACGGTGACGCTGTCCTTGCTGCTGTCGTGAGGCACCTTGGGCACGTCCCTCTTCAGGGCGGCCGCCCTCTCCTTCTGCTTTGAGGGGGAGTCGACGTCCACGGGCGCACTCTTCCCGAAGAGTCCTGTTTCTGCTTCCAGGGCTAGTGCTTCTCCGACCGGAGGAACGCTGTTCCCAACCCTTCTGCGTTTGGAAGGCTGCTCTACAGGTTGTCAGGAGAAAAGCAGCAACGATTAGTTAACTGTCTCTTCTCTTCAGTGAGCTGTCTGATGCAGCTTGAGTGCACGTGCTCTTCCCACTACAAATGGCGGATCTGCACCGGCTGTGTGGAAACACTCCCTCCTCGCCAGACGCTGAGGCGCGCACCACGCCCTCCCTCACGGCTGTCCTGACCCACCTGACTCGTCCCACTACGTCCTGGGCCCCAATTACACGCGGGTAAGTGGACTAAACCAAGGGGAAGTGGTAACGTAAGTCCTCATCGTCCACTCCCAATTCTATAAAAGGTCGGGGGTCTCCAAGTTCTCAGCAAATCCAGAGCGCCTCTCCTAGAAAGCCAGGGGCAGCCACGGTGGGCGGGGGCGAGGCGGCCTGGGGGCCTGCGCTCCAACAAGCACGTTAGGCGACTGAAGTACGTGCTCCACAGGCCACACTCGGGAAAGCACGACAAAGCACTCTAGCTCCTAAACACTTCCAATGTGTCTGCGTCCCTCAAGAGACAGCTGAAGGACAGTGACTTGCTGCTCACAGAAAATGCCCGGCTGCTTAGTGCCTCACGCTTTGCTGACATTGGTTCTCCGCTTGGCTTCCCTTCCCTTCTTACCCACTGGACAGTCCCACCCTGGGACCCCTACTCACTCCCACCCCCGGGATGCACGCGTCACTTCCCCATGATGTCACTGCAGGGAGCTGCCCCACTAGCACCTTCTTTGGACTTCACCATATTCGCACCTACAGCTCCCACAGTCCCAGTTACACGCCACTGTGGTCACATGTCACATTTGCCTTATCCTGCTGAACCGGGAGCTCTGAAGGGCAGGGAGCTACCACAGTCATGTCTGAAGGCCCTAAAAAGGTGTGCAAGAAAGGTGAATTGAATGACGACTCCATTACTATTTCCCTCTGGCCGACAACTCTGTACTAGGAAAGTGTATAGAGTCCTTTTATGTCTTGAGACAATCCTTTACCTTGGCTGACTTTGCTGAAATAAATCTGACACACACTTGCCCATCCCTGAAGCTGCAGGGGTGACAGAAACCCTGGTTGGAAAATTCTACCAAGTCAAAAGTATTAGGTGGGGCCGAGCAAGGCAGGTGTCTGCGCAGGGTGGGGCTGCAGCAGTGGTGCAGGATGCTGGAGTCTGAGTGGGTGAAGGGGATGTCCACACATAGGGCAGTGACAAGGACAGTGTGGGGTATGGGAGCCCAAGCGGGGTGCAGGGGGCGCTACAAGAGGGCAGTGGTGGCAACGGCGCAGTGTAGGGAGTGGAGCCCAAGTGGATGGGCAAGGGTCTCTGCGCAGGGCAGCACCCAGCACAGGGCGTGGAGTCCAAGCAGGGGAGGAGGGCACCCACGCGGAAGGTGGGCAGGGACTGGAGAGGTGATGGGGCACCATGCGAGCAACTTGTTCTCAAATGGTTCAAGAAAAAGGTTCCTTGTACTGTTTTTGCAACTTCTCTGGAAGCCTGAGACGTTCTAAAATAAAATTTCTGAAAAGCTTTACCTTCTTCATCATCGCCCCACTCCTTCTCATCGTCCTCATCTGCTTTGCGCTTATCTGCACCTCTGGTCTTTTTCTTCTTTTTCAGCGCTTTCTTCTCGGCCCGGGCCTTCTTCCGTTGTTCAGCCTTTTCTTCTTCTTGCTGAGCAAGGGCTGCTTCCTTCTCCGCAGCCTGGAGAGTTGGGAATACGACACATCACTGGATGCAGCAACTACATGACCTCTACTCGCTTGTGATGAGAGGAGCCATGGAAGGGGGCAGCGAGTGGAAACTCAGTCCCCAGTGAGAGGAAGAGGCCATGAGAACGGCAAGGAAGAGGACGTGCTCACAACTTCCTCCTGCCAAGGCTTATGCAGGCTTCCAGGATGCTGCACCTCAAGCCTACGGCATGTTTCCTAACACCCCCAGGAATTACTCACCAAAAGAAAGGAAAAAAATCTATAAAACTGGGGCCCTAATTAATTGGGGGTGTTCATGTTCCAGTCACTTGGCTGAGGCTCCTTTTTCGTCTTTTTCAGCTATTCCAGTAAACTTTAGGGCCAAAATTCCCCCACTACTTAAAAAAAGTATTTATTGTTGGGGCTAAAGTTCTCAGCTAATCTAAAAAAATGATACAAGACAGGCTTAAATACTGATTCAACTATTTCATAATTAATACACTGAGTAAAAGGAACTTCTTAAAAGGACCTCAAGGATTTTGACAAGAAATGTTCATACCAAACAGTCAAAATAGTGATCAGGGGTTCCAAAGACTTTAAATAAATAGCATCATTACCTTAATTCTCTGCTCATTAACACGAGCTAATCGAGTTTCAGTTTTCTGAACAGCTATATCCCAATCTTCTAAAGTACCTTGATAGAAAGAGAAGCAAACTTTCACTTTTTAAGATTTTCAAGGCTGGAATAATATAAAATGTTCCTCATTTCCCCACACCTCCAGAAGGGATCTCTCCCATCAGACAATAAGAACTGGAGAGTCAGCTCCCCATTTTAAGATTTCATTATGTAGGCTTGAAGTTTCAGAATTCAAATAGTCCTTCCAGGTGTATTTAAAACGTCACTTGTCTTTCAGAAAAGAGACTTGAAAACCAGAATATGATCTATTATGGGCTCTCTCTGGCGAAGATTATGAAAACATTCTAATGCAAAAGATGCAAGACATTTATATTAAGACTGAAGAATTTTAAGAGCTCCTCAAATGATAACTGTTGGGGTGTTTTGTAATTTGTTGTTGTTTGGGTGTTTCATTTCAAGTGCTGAGGGGTTCACACTTTAAATAGAGACCAATGCCCATGGATAAATTCACTCCTCTCCTACTGGAAACTTAACACTGAGGCTCTGAAATTCAACAAGCGACGAACACGCCCGATGCACACGTTCAGCTGTCTGCCTCTCTGCGCTCCTTCAGTGTGCGGGACGTTGTGCTGGAGCAGAGGTCCTCAACTGAGCCCTCCTGACCCCGGGGGGCATTCACGCTGCTGGTGGTCGTGACTGGAGCAGGGAGGAGTGCTACGGGCACCTAGTGGGGAGAGGCCAAGGGTGCTGCCAATGGCCCTACAACGCCCAGGACGACCCCCCACAAAGAATCACGAGAACCCCGTCTAGGCCCACATCACAGAGAGTCCTTGTATGTGGAGAACTTGAGAGGACTCCCTCTCACTGGAGAGCACCACATGGCAGTCTAATCACAGAGCGCCACCTGAAGGGCTGTAGCCGTAAACACAGTCTGTCCTGACAGACTACAGTCTTGAGACCAAACGGTAAACAGGACAGACTCCAAGCCAGAGCAGAAAGCCAAGGGTCCCCACCTTCTGTCCTCTCCATGGTGAGCAGGACTTCACAGACGTGCTCTGGGTAGTCACTGGTGCACTGGACGGCCCGGTGCAGAGCCTTCCTGCAGTGCTGGGTGTCCCCGTGTGCCCTAGGGCAGAAACAGACAGCTGCTCCCACCAGGACACAAAGCGGAAGGCACACAAAGGGAGGGGCAGTCTTCTCTCAGTAGTGCCACAGGATCAGAAGCTTCTGAGGAGACTCGAGCTTCCAGAACTATCCACAGCTATTCATACTACTGCTAATTTTAACGTCGTCTCCTTTTTCCATGAGAGTCCCTCCAGTCAAAACCTGAGGCTTTCTTCTAAACCACGCTTTCCCTTAGCAAGTAGGTGCCACTAGAAAATGCATCTGGGGCAGTGGTCTGCAACAAGGTATTCTGCCTTCACAGTATTTGCATATGCAACACACATGAGGGAAGCTAAGAACTCTGTGCAACTTGATAAGGTCCCTAGAGAAATTCTGCAGTCCTACCCAAGGGAAGAAGTAACTAATCCAGGGACTGTCAAATTTCATGCCTAGACTCAGATCTTTCTGCACTGACACGGAAAGATATACAGCTAATCACTATAGTTATACAACAATATTCTGTGAATCACAACAGTTATGAAACACTACGTTCTCATTTCTGTTTTTAAAAAGTTTATAAATATTGCAAACACATATTAGGACACTAAGCAAAAATTGAGAGCAGTGGTTCTCAAAGTACGATCCAGGGACCACTGAGGGTCTGCGAAGTGAACACTACCTGCATAATACCAAAACGTTATTTAACTTTTTCACCATGTTGACGTGCACTGACAGAGCAAAAACTACGGTGGCTCTTGGCACAAATCAAGGCAGTACCCCTCTTTTTACTGTTGTGTGACAAGATGGGATGCGTACATAAAGCACTTCTTTATGCATTCCGAAGTACAACAGTGGTCACAAAGAAAATAATACGTTATTGTTTGGGCTGCAATCTGACTAGTTACTTTTTTCATGGATATCATTCTTACTTGAGAGAACAGCTGGGTGACAGAAACTACGGTTGTTCAGACCTGGGTATTTGGCAAACATGTTTAAAAACTAATGAAGTCAGTCTGTGACCACAAGAAAACCACTGATGGTATTTGTTGCCAGTGATGAAATTCAAGCTTTCAAGTGAAAATCAGAATTTTGGAAAACTTGTATCCGCCACTGTGAGTCAGTGAGGATAGGAACAAATGCGATTTTTTCCGACTGTATAATGAAATGAGTCAATGGCTGGAAGAGCTGCATGACTTAGTGAAGCAGCATTCTCCAAACAAACAATGCACGCCCAGAATCACGCCTGAGTAACGGTCTGCTAGGAGGGCAAAACAGACCAATGGCCATGAGTGTGACAGTCTAAAAAATTCACTGACGTGGTTTCAGACTCCACACTGCAACCGACTTGTAAGAAACTACGACTTGCCAGACTTGGCTGCAGGATGAGAGAAGATGACCCACAATTATTGGAAAAGGCTATTAAAATACCCCCTTCTCTCTTCTAACCTCCTATCTGTGTAGGCCACATTTTCTTCATGTTCTTCAACAAAAACATCACAACAGAGTGAATGCAGAAACAGACACGAGAATCCAGTGTCTTTTTCTAAACCAGACTAAAGATATTTGCGAAAAATATAAAACCAAGTCACTTTCCTCACTAAATTATTCTGGGGTTTGGAAAATGGTCATTTTTCACAAAAAATGCGTTATGTTAAATGTAATAAATTTATTGTTATTTTTAAATGAATAAAAATATTTTTTAAATTCCTCAGTTTTATTTTCTAATATGGTAAATATTAAAAGATATACCTCACATAAACAGAAGCTTTTGGGGGTCCTCAAATTTTAAGAGTGTAAAAGGGTCCTGAAACCAAAAAGTTTGAGAACTGCTGATCTAGAGGAATATTCAAGAAGCTTCAATAGCGGTCATCTCTGGGGAGGGGATTATAAGAAACTTTCACTTCCTATCACATTTTTGTAAATGTTCTGACTATTTTAATTTGAGCATGCATTATTTTTTAAATTGGGGGTAAAAAAAACAAAATATTCAAAACAGAAAAAAGGTAATGTGGAAATATATTTATGGACGTGCAATGTTCAAGAGATACTGAATAAAAAAACTGGTCATGCAGAGAAAATTGGACTGTGGTTACCAGGGGCAGTGGGGGTGGGGGGTGGGCACAAGGGGTGAAGGGAGTCATATATATGGTGATGGACAAACAAAAATGTACAACCCAAAATTTCACAATGTTAGAAACCATTAAAACATCAATAAAAAAAAAAAAAAACTGGTCATGTTCTTTATATCTTCCTCATATTATTAAGATTATCAGGCATATCTTATATATTTAAAATAATTTTAGGTTTATAACATGTACACTGTAATTGCATTTTCATTTTTAAAAAATGTAAGCATAGAAAGCTCTCAAAGAACATCCCCAGACCACTAACTAATGGTGAGTATGTCTGGGTTTACTGATGCAGATAATTTGGGTTTTTTTGTCTTTGCTTTTTAATATTTTCTACTTTTACATACAAAGCAAATATAAAAAAATAGCTCCCCCAAAAGTCAAAGAAAACAGTCATGTCCAAAAATCAAAACAAACAAACCAAAATAACAAACTGAAAGAAATGCACGGCTATAAGATGAGCCCAGGCACAAAACACTCAGTGTGGTTCTCTAGCCTCGCGCCTCGCCCAATAAACACACAGCCCTAATGAAAAGGACAGGATGACAGAGGAAGGAGCCAGCCCACGCTGGCAGGAGTCAGCAGGACTGAAGCCGGGTCACGCCTGACAAGCACCCCTCCCCCACCCCAGGTCAGTTACCTTTCCAGGTTGTAATACTCAAGCCACATGTTGGCATACTTGGCGTTTCCTTTGGTCATGATGCTATCCCAGAGTTCTCGAGCTTTCTGCATATTATTGCACAGTCGAGCCTAAAACACATTAGCAGGCTCAGTTAGGGAAAGCCTCAAGCCTTACGACGTCGACACCCACTACAAAACATGCTTCAGACATGCCTAAAAAGCTCCCCTAACCATCAGTGTTCAGAACTCCCTGGACGTCCCCCGGCCGCCCTCCACGGTGACAGGCCCAGCCCACCACCTCAGCCTCTCTGCAGTGACGGCCCTCCAGCTGTCAGCCTCCACCGCTGGAGAGCACAGAGCAGGGGCCTACAGGCACTGCTGGTCACTTGTTTTTGGTTTTATCAAGCTTAACTACAAATATCTACAAGAGTCAATGTGTGAGACAGACAGACTGATTTAGGAGCAAATGCTGGCTCTGGCACTTACTAAGTGACTTGGGCAAGTTACTTGACCTCTCTGAGCCTCAGACACATCAGCTGTAAAACAGTCACAACACAAACATCCCATCCAGAAACTACCTGATAAGTGTTTGTTTGACCTGATCCCCCTCAGAGAATAAAACACTAGAATTTTACAATTCTATGAGCTGATCAAAGGCAGGTTCCATGTCTTACTCACCTTGGGGTCCCCGGTCCAGTAATAACATGCGACTCATCATATCCTCTCATTATCTGTCACGTCGTCTGTCTTCCACACTAGAGTAAGCCTTACTAGCACAGGGCCCGTCTCTATCTCATTCCCCCAGTGCCTAGAACAGTGCCTGGCAAACAGTACACACCTGGTATGCTCTCACAAAGGAGGCACTCGGGGAGGGGGGGAGGGAGGGAGGGAGGGAGGGAGGAAGTCAGTGAGTGAATGTCGGGCATGCAGACATTTGCTGCACAACCTCTACCTGGGAGCTAGTCTTTTCACTAAGATATGAACAAATGTGCATCAAGTTAGGCAAACAACACGAATCCTTACAGAGCCCAGACCATCAGCTGGGATTCTGACTCAACTTCAGCCACTCTGTTAGACAGAGGTCCTTCAAAGGTGGATCCAACTGTCAAAAACATTTACCTCCATCCTAGCCCAGTTCTGCATGATCATGCAGCTTGGATCTCCACTCTCGTTGAAACCTTTAAGAACAGAATTAGTCCACATTAGAGAGTAATCTGGAGACACAGAGCACCTGACTGAAAAGGCACATGCACCCAGAACAGGCAAGGCGACTGGACAAGCAGTGGGCTGCAGCCACACTCACGCTCTTCTACGTCCTGCTTCAGATGCTCCAGAGCGCGTGCAAACGCGGACCTCAGCTCCTCCAGCTCCTTACTGGAGTCTGTCAGAAAGGGCACCAGGTTGGCGTTATGAAACAACATACCACAGCTTTTTTTTTTTAATCCTACACTGAAACTCCCGGGAGCCTGTTATGTACCTGGCATCATGCTGTGGACACAGAAATAAAATAGCCAGTCCCTGTCCTCATCACAGAGTGGGGGGAAAGACACTGGAACAGAGCACATTTTGCGGAGTACACCAACAAAGGTGAGCACGGGGTGCTGTGTGGGGGACGCAGCAGAGGGGGTCTCCCCTAGCCGGTAGAATGGCTGAAGGCCACCTACATGAGTGTGCGAGTACCAGTTAGACAGGGGGTTCCGGCTGCTATTGTTTTGAGGGGGAAAGGGAGAAAGGCAGGGGATCCTGCAGAGGCTCCAAGTTTTTACAGAAACACAGCAGTCTTATGTAAAGAACTATTTAGGATATATAGAAGGGAGAAAAAAGAGAACTGAGACTAAAGAGGATGCAGGAGGCAGCATAAAATGTAAAGACCACTACTCTCTTCCTTTACAATCCACAGCATGACTTGTTAAAGACTTACACAGCTAAAATTTCTGGGGAAAAACAGTTAGCAATGGCTGGTCTACAGCATTTGCCCCATCACCACGTATCTGGGCAACTGGGACACGCCACCAGAAGACATGGTAAGAATTCTGATATGAAACACACGAATTTAAATACCTTGTTTGAAATCAACCCTCCTCCTCAGGTAATCAAGGTAGGCCTGCCAAATCTCCACATAATCAGTGGCCTGAATGAAGCCAGCACTCAAAGCTTTCTCGAAGGTCACTGGAGTTGAAGAAAAAGCCAGGATTTGTTGCCAATTCAAAAAGAGGCTTATGTAAAGTTATCAAGATTATTATAAAAACCTCTACTGACTATAAATACTATAAGCCTTAATTATATACAATAATACAATAATAATATACAACAAAGTGAAATGAGCTAGAGAGAAATGTTCAAAAGAAAAGCTACTAGAGCACTGCACAAATGATGTTCTAGAAAGGGCATGTTCCACAAGATACTCTGCAATAGAAGAGCGCCAGGTCAAGTGAGTTTGGAGAAAGATCCCGACCTGCTGGAAAATCACCATGAATTTTAGCATGTTAAAAAGCTGTAAGAAGCCAAAAATACAACCAGTTTATCTCCCACTTAGAGCCCTTTTTGTCACTAATACCCAATATCCCAAAGTAACAGCTGGGAATGCTGCTTTAATGACTGTCACAGCTCTATGTTTCTGACTTGGGACAAAAAGCTAAGCGGTCTTCCCACAAAAACATTCGCACCAGAAACGGCTCGGTGATCAACCCCATGTCTCTCCATGGCCAAGAGGTACCGACTCCACAGGGCAACTGTCCAGGGGCAGTTTCTAACAGCACGATTATGTACAGATAAAACCAAATCCTTCACTTTCAGGTGCCGATCCTACGAGAAAGAATGTCAGGGTTAGAAGATCAAATTTTATTAAGACTTCACCATCCGTGAGACATTTCCAGCACAACCAACTGACCAAAGAAATTTCCTTGAAAACGTCTCTTGTGACTGGTTTCTTCAACAAAGAAATCACAAGGGGGTGTGGGGAAGAAGAAAGGTGGAGAGGGGAACCTACAGACTAAAACAGCCTTAAGAGACATCAGCCAATCCTAATATACAGACCTTGTTTGGAGCCTGATTCAAATCTTTCATATATACATACTGAAATATTTACCAACAAAATGTGATTTCTGGATTTGCTTCAAAATAACATGGAAGGGGGGAAGTAAGTAAGATCCAGATGAAACTGGATGAAACGACAGTTAACGCCATTGGTTAACTGTCAAAGCTGGGCAATGGGTACATGAGGTTTCATTTTACTGACATGTTTACATTTATGTGTTTACATGTTTCCATAATAAAAAGTTAAAAGAAAAAAAGTAACATTATAAAGTCCTCAGTAGTAAGACTAGGCAAATTTTTTTACAGTTAGTGATCAGTTTAAATAACTTAAAACACTAGGAGAACTTTCTAAATGAGCTAGTAAAAGGGGAATAGGAGGATGAAGGAAAACGAGACAGAGCAGAGAGGAGCAGCATGCAACTTTACCTCCCGGCACGCTTACTGATTTTCTTTACATAGATCCTAAACTGGTAAAAGTAAAATGAAATTAGAAGAGTTATCTTACTAGGTACTGACTGTAACGGATCCATAAGTCTGGGACAAGGCAGTTCTCCACCAGGGCGCGCTCAAAGATCAACTGAATGCGAGCAGGATCGCCAATTTTCATCTCAAAATCGATGTATGCTTGATACTCGGCCAACCTGGGTGCCTCTGCTTGCAACTGGGGCAAAGGAGAATTGCAATGAAGTTGAAATGAGCTACTTGATACTGTCAGGAAGCACAGTACATCTTCACAGTAAATTCTGGCGAGACTGCTTACACCAAGAATCACCAATTCCCGCTTTCAGAAGCTCTGCACCTCGGGGTCTACAAGTTGATGGGCACAGTGGGGGTCCAAAGTGCTTACTCATGGCAATAGTTACAAAGGTTCCGTAAACTCTTTTCTAAATCCATCCCCAGACCACAGGGAATTAAAATCTCCCATCAATCAGGAACTGAATGAAAGAGAAACGCCTTTACCAACGACCACTGCTAGCCATCCTTCCAAAACAGAAGTCACCTTCCTGGCCTACTGAGTGGAGTGAATGCAACGCCCTGGAGTAACTCAGTGCCTTGTGCTACTTCAGGTTTCTCATCCCAAATACCAGCTCCTGCCAGAGCACAGGCACATGCAGAAGACGGAAGACGCCATCCTGAATGTTTACTGATCCAAAGACATACAACCAAAATTCTTTTTAGACGAAATCCTCTTGTTCAACTTGTTTTCTCTTCAGCCACACTCTGCTGATGGCCACAACAAAACTGAACTGGCTGAGGACTTCACTAATGAGGCTTTGTGAAACATGACTACATACCAGTCATTGACGTGCGAAACAGAGAGAGGAGCACATGCAGGCCAGCAAGAGCACGCGCTCTGAACATGGGAGACGATGTTCGGAGCCTCAGCATCCAGCAAAAATAACAAATTAGTTACCCAGACACACTGTGCCACTGACAACAACCAAAACTGCTGGATTAAACATAGAAACCATCTTTGTGAAAATCATCAACCAACTGGCAAAGAAACAAGAAGTACTAAGGACAAAATCTAAGTGAAGGCAGTTAAGCTAAGTGAAGGTTAAGCTTTCGCTGGCTTAAGATACACTAAAATTGGATCTTCAAAACGATCCTATGAGGCAGGTATCATTACTACCCCCATATGACATTCGAGGCAACCGAGACAGAGAGGCTAAGTACTAGCCCAAAGTCAGAGAGCTAGTAAGTGGCAAAGCTAAAATTCAAATTTGAGGCAGCCTGGCTCTCACAGTCTGTGTTCTTACTCAAAGGCCATGAAAGACACTAAACACAGAGCCAAGAAGCCCAACAAACCTAAAGGAGGATAACTACAAAGATATCCAGACCTGGACCTACTGTAATGAAACTGCGGGACATCAAACCAAACCAACGAGACCTTAAAATTGGTCAGAGAAAAAACAAGGATTATCTTCAAAGAAGCAAGAGTTAGACAGACAGCCGACTTCTCAACAGCAACAACAGAAGCCAGAAAGGTATGCAGTCACACGTGCTGCATAACAACGTTTCAGTCAACGATGGACTGCATATACAATGGCAGTCCCATAAGATTAGTATCGTAAAGCCTGAGTGTGTAGTAGGCTATACCATATAGGTTCATGTAAGTACAGTCTATGATGTTCACACAACGACAAAATCACCTAATGATGCATTTCTCAGAACATATCCCTGTCGTTAAGAGACACATGACTGTATTTAACTGCTGAGAGAACATACTGTCCGTCTAGAATTCTATATCCTGAGAAACTAACTTTCAAGAAGGAGAGCAAAGTAAAGACCTTTTCAAACAAAAACTGAGAAAATCTGTTACCAGCAAATGTCTAGCACAGGAGACTCTAAAGGGTGGACATTAAACAAAAGAAAAGTGATTCCAGTTGAAAGCCCCAGGATGTAAGAAGCAAGAGCAAAGAAAGCAGGAAATGCATGTAGTAAATATAAACAAATGAGACTGTATAATGCGAAATTAACAATGATGCCTTGTGGGTCAAACAAAAAGACAAGAAATACAAGACAACAAGAGCATAAGTCTGAGGCATGGGAAATGAAGTTAGAAGTATTCTAAGATCAAGAAAGGGAAAAAATGCCACTTACAAATATTATTGTCCAAAAAAAACCAAGCATTATTACCAACAGAGAAAATCCAAAAGAATCTATAAATAAGAATTCAGCAAGTTTGATAGATAAAAAATTAATATAAAAAACCAATTACAGGGCAGGCCCCGTGGCTTAGCAGTTGAGTGCGCACGCTCCGCTGCTGGCGGCCCGGGTTCAGATCCCGGGCGTGCACCGACGCACCACTTCTCCGGCCATGCTGAGGCCGCGTCCCACATACAGCAACTAGAAGGATGTGCAGCTATGACATACAACTATCTACTGGGGCTTTGGGGGGAAAAAAATAAATAAATAAAATCTTTAAAAGAAAAAAAAATTACACTTTATATACCAGGAACAATTAGAAAAGAAAATCTTTAAAAAGATATCGTTTTCAATAGCATCAAAAACCACTTAGAAATACATCTAAAAAATGTGTTCAAGACGTCAGATGAATTTCTAAATTAATAAAACTTTACAGAAAGACAAGGCCTAAATAGCAGAGGCCTATACCATGTTCACAGGTTGGAAGATTCGATATTTAAAAGATGTAACTTCTTTCCTAAATTGATCTACAGATTCAATGAAATTCCAATAAAAAATTCAACAGGTTTTTTTTTGGTGAGGAAGATGGTCCCTGAGCTAACATCTGTGCCCATCTTTCCCTATTTTGTATGTGGGTTGCCACCACAACATGGCTTTATGAGTGGTGTGTAGGTCCGCACTCAGGATCTGAACCCACGAACCCCAGGTCGCCCAAAGCAGAGTGCGCAAATTTATCAATAGTTTTTTTTTTTAATACAACTTGAAAAGCTGATTCTAAATTCAATGTAAATATTAACAGTTAAAAAAAGCCAAGACTCTCTATAAGAGTCTCTATAAGAAAACAAGGTAGATGGGATTCATGCTACCTAAGATCAAAACTTATTATAATACTATTGTCATTATGACAGTGTCATATAAACCAGTGGTGCAGAA